ACTGAGGCTTAAGGGAAAATCTGACATCTAACTTAGTTTTAAAAATGCAACAGGGGGACATTAAAAGTTAGTAGCGTATCCTTGTTGCAGAACCACCCCAGCATTTTTTTTAAATAGTTGTTGTGGTTTTTCAAGGCAAATGTTACATTCAGTAGTTTGCCATTGCTTCTGAATGGTCAGCTCTTGGTAGCACTGTCGAAACCACAAGACAAACCGTCCGCAGCTGGGTTTGAACCAGGCACCCCGGCATTCCAAAGCGTAAGGCCCCCATACATCCTGGCCTTTTAGTCACTGTGCAGATGCACACAGAAGCAATGCAATTTAACTTCACTTTCTGAGAACAGGTTATTGCAGACAGGCCATTGTCAGGCATCGATGGGACTGTTTACCAACGGGAAGTTACTAGATTTAGTCTTCTCAGATCAACAGGGTTACAGCCAGGAGAGAGGTCTTTGTTTTTAACAATCCGCTTTTGAAATTAAACACTAGTACACTGATGATTATGAGACATGATTTGATTGCAAAGACTGTACTTCAAGGAACATTGGGGGTTAGTCGAAGAAGAGGAGGACAAAGAAGAACTTGGAATGACAACATCAAGAAATGGACACGACTAAGTTATCATACACTTATTCATGAAGTTGAAGACAGAGAAAGATGGCGGGTTTTATGTACTAGTGCTTCTGTCAATACACCTGCACAACACTAACATGTCACAGGTTATGTTATGAAACAGAGTCACTAACAAATCATAGGCACTTGTAAATTTGAGCTGGCGGATGAGGTTTGAACTTCAACTGTGTGGATCACGCTATGACTACTCCATTCCAGTGCCACTTTAACTTATTCGAAATGGCCTTGCCCATCCCAATAAAAAATTAGTAAACAAATAACTGTCCCTGCAAAATATAGCAACAGGCACATATAACAAATTCATAAGGCAGTCGCAAGAGGTGCCAACACCAACAGGCACCACCAGAACTGCAGTTTGTTGATGGACAGAGTCAACCGTTATATTATTTATGACATTCTACTCACCTCTGTAGGCCTTGACACCACCCCGTCCTCCCAGAGTGACACCACCAAAGGTAAAGCCTGTAGCAGCAGGATAACTGTACTCATCATGTACCTCATCGTCATCTTCTTCATCTGCTATCTGCTGCCTGCCATACTTGTAACCTCGTGCTGCACAAAGAGGCAGTATGGAATCAAACAACAATCATAATGATAAGAGACAGACAATTTTTCTAAATCAGGTTTGCCCTGTTAGCTAAGACCTGCTGACCATTTTTATTTTCAAAGGCCTAACAATGAGCTCATACTGAAGAAGTCATATTTATATATGTGGGAAGACAGTCATCATTTTTCGGCCATGTTATGAGAAGAGGGAAAATGGAACATGTTGTGACCACTGAAAAGATCTGTGAAAGGAGGGATAGAGGAAGACAACGAGAGAAGATTCTTGGCAGTCTTGTTGCATGGCATGGAGGTGTGTCGGCACATGAACTGATACATGTTGCAGGGGATCGTGGATTATGGAGAGGCATGATCGCCCACGCCAGTCGGCAAGGCACCTGATGATGATAATGATGTGGGAATAGGAAACAATTTGCATTCTTCTTTTTTTCAACTGTCTGAATGATGTAAATGCGTTCTGCCTGTTTACATTAAAGTTGTCAGTTTTGCGCCTTTCAGCCGACACATCCAACTTTATTGAGCATTTGTTTGACCGGTTGACTTCCTGGGTGGTTTTGTTGGGCATGACATGCTGTGTTGTGGCCTTATTTGTGTGGTGGTCTCTTTGTTCCCATATCTACAGGTGTTGCCACTGGAGACCTCATCCAGGGCATGTGTGTGTAGACAGGTCGGCTCTCAAGGGAAGGCACAGATAGATCATGGGCATTTCCAGCCATCTAAGGAGGCTTCCATAAATGCAGAGCCGACACATGATGCTTTGGTTCTAGGCTCATTCGAGGAATCCTCACACCCTGTATGTGACTGCTAACCTCACAATCGTCATGGGCTGTGCCCTCTGGAGATCGGTAGGGAGCAGCATGCAGGTCCAGGACTTCGATGGCCACATAAATAGATTCATATTTCTCTGGCATGTTAGACACCTTAAGCATTGTTTTATCTGGAAACTTAGCGAGATAGTAGGACAAAGCGTGCATTTGGCATGTCCCTCCCCGTAAGGTCCACCACTCTGGTGAGTGGGGTCTATGATAATGGGCATGAAAACCTTTCTGCCAATTAGTAGGACATTTTATGGTCGGACATTCAGGACTTTGTTGCTATGCCATAGGACACTCACAGTGGCAGGTGCACCTCAACGTGGTGATGATGACTTTGAAGAACAGCAAGGGATGTGTGGAGACAGGAATGTTCTGTGAGTTACCGCCCGCAAGAGTTGTTGCTCGTCTAGGCTGCGAGCAAATTTCTTGTTAAAGGGCTGAGTCTCAGCAGTGCAGTAATTATTCCTACTCAACAGAGGTTTTGACCCAGGGTTATCATTTAGTAGTATGTTTGGCTAGCGGACTTAACCTATGTTAGAAATGAGCTTTGATAGACATTTTCACCCTTGCATTGGGGGTGGGCTGATGTGAGCCAGACTGTACACTACATCTCTAGAGGCCACCAATTCCGAGATCCCCTGGCAACTCAAGTCAGGTCAAAAAGGTGAACCCCTATCCGCGGCACATGACGTCTTGTGTGAGTATCTGTAAAACCATTCCACAGCCAGCTGGCACCCACGGTGAGGTATGAAGTTACTCCCTATACACATCACAACGGCCTTAACTGTCTCTCATACCTGTGATCGATTTCACCACACCACAATCTGCATTCTAAAGCTGAGAGTATTTTTGTCAGTGAAATCATGGACCCTTTAACAACTGTTCCCTAGACCACCAAATTGGAAAGACTGTTTTAAATAATATCACACCACCAACAAATAATCATCCCCATCACTGGTCAAGTCAGTACTCTTGTGCCACCCTGTCCATGTGGTCAAGTCATCCAAGTATTTATTTCTGTCTTCGCGTTGCTCTTTTCCATTCAATCCTGACCTTGGACCTATTCCTTCTCACTGTATGTTGAAAAAATATTGACTTTATTCTACAAGAGCACAATATGTCCGGTCAGCCAGAACAGCAAGAAGCAGAATATTTAACCTCTCTCGACACCCGAAGCAGTAAAAGAGAAAGTTGAAAAAAAAAAAAGAAGAAGAAAAAGAAAACATGTAATTTCCCTAATTAGTTTAGGGTTTTCATCCGACTCAGGCAGACTCTCTTGTTTGTTTTCTTACTCTTCAATAATATAATTAAATTTCATATTCTCCCCATAGGGTTTCTAGGGTCTTTTTGGTGTACAGAAGAATAGACCTACATCCTCACCCTAACCCCCAACAAACATGTCCTAAAATTTGACCAATGAGGGATGTTTCCTTTGAGGTTGGACGGAGTGCATCTGCCTGAAAGGTGAGGAACAAACATTACACACGCGAAATATTTTCACATTTCGGAACTATTCAAAATCAAAAACCGTTTTCAGTACTTTTTGGCAAAATAAAATACTTAAAATTTTAAAACTGTAAATGGTGGTCCAAAGGACGTTGTGTGGGAAAGCGCGCCCCCCTACGAAATGCGCCTGGCCAAATCAAAGGGAAACAAAACAAACTGGAAACACCAAGAAAGACGAGGGAAGACATGCACAAGTAACAACAGGGTGGAGGACGAGCGGTCTGATTCGGATGGAAGCATCAAACCCAGAAATGACGCAAACACTAGAATTTAGTCACGAAAGTGACGCAAATAACCCAGACCACAAATATAGGCGGAGACTGCTAGCAGCCTCGGCTAGCTAGCAGCAGTCTGAAAGTGGTCGACCTTTTTTTTTCTCTCTCAAAAGGACTAGGACTAGGACAAACATTACCTACACACACACAAAAAACTCAAGTTCTGGAACAAGACCAAAGTCCATGACAAACCACCAGAGCTTCCTGCCAGTGTTTACAACAATGAACACAAAGGAGATTTGTTTTTTATCTCAAAAACCACATCTCCACAGCAAGTAAATATTTTCCAGCTTGTTTACTTATTGTCCATACTCCTCATGCATATCAACAACACAGGTTCTACTCAGAACTTCTTCATCATCATCAGTTCTCGTTATGCCTAGTGGCACATGAGGCTTCAGAGAGGACTTTCCATGCTTTCCTGTCCTGTGCAATCTTCAGTGCAGTTTTCCATGTCAAAGATGCCGCACTCAGGTCACTTTCCATCGTTCGTCTCCATGTTGTTTTTGGGCGCCCCTGTTTTCTCTTTCCCTCTGGTGTCCATGTGAAAGCTGTTTTGGCAGGTATCAGAACTTCTTAACACTCTTTTTTTGTGCTAACTGCAGCTGACAACTTCTATTGGTTCTGTATATTTTGTATTTTGCAAATAAATTTGGCCAGCATTATAGGTGACCAGCTATAGGTCTATAAAAAAGATCAACTAGAAGCAAATACCTGATCTGATGTGCCAACTGGATAATAAGGGTCCCTATCTTCAACAATTAGCACATGAAAAATCTCACCACCAGGAGCAAAAGAATGAATCCAACGATCCCAGCAACAAGAGCGTACAACAGGAAAGTAGCAACCTCCAAGAGGTAAGGCACGACGAATAAGAAGATGGATTGAAGGAGTCAATCTAATACCTTGAGACTCGACAACAACTTAACATAATGGGCAACCATTTTTGGCTGGGTTACCCTGGGAGCCAAGGGCAATAATAATTTTTAAAAAAAAACTTGTTCTGATGGGGATTTGAACTTCAAACCAATGGGCTACAGGAAGTGGCATAGGAAGAGGTGTGTGGGCCCCCCCAGGTGTCATCACTGGTGGGAGAAACGGGTGGGGGGAGGGCACAAAATGTTCAAATGTGTTTTTAACATAAAAACATGCATTGTTTACATTAACACACAGGTAAAATAATCAAGTAAAATCTGTAATCACTTACTTGACATGCTCAACTCCTTCACTTCCTGGGTATCACTGCCGCACTTTGGACATGGGATGGCCTGCCCTTTGACGTACTTGAATCCCTTACGCCTGACATGATCATCACAGTAGCATTGCTGGGTTGATCAAAAACAATTTAGCAATTACATTATGGAAAAGACAACTGTAATCTCAGCAATGAGATACTGTTTTATTCTGGTGAATGGCTAGTTAGGAAACAATTAACCTGTCTGTTACATTCTGGCCAATGGCTGTTTAGAAAACAATCAAATAGTATGTTACATTCTGGCCAATGATTGTTTAGAAAACAATCAAATAGTCTGTTACATTCTGGCCAATAGCTGTTTAGAAAACAATCATCTAGTCGGTTACATTCTGGCCAATGGCTGTTTAGAAAACAATCAAATAGTATGTTACATTCTGGCCAATGACTGTTTAGAAAACAATCAAATAGTATGTTACATTCTGGCCAATGATTGTGTAGAAAACAATCAAATGGTCTGTTACATTCTGGCCAATAGCTGTTTAGAAAACAATCATCTAGTCGGTTACATTCTGGCCAATGGCTGTTTAGAAAACAATAATAGTCAGCTGCATTCTGGCAATGACTGTTTAGAAAACAATCAACTAGTCTGTTACATTCTGGCCAATGGCTGTTTAGAAAATAATCAACTAGTCAGTTGCATTCTAGCCAATGACTGTTTAGAAAACAATCAACTAGTCAGTTGCATTCTAGCTAATGGCTGTTTAGAAAACAATCAACTAGTCAGTTGCATTCTGGCCAATGACTGGTTAGAAAACAATCAACCAGTCAGTATTATTCTGGCTGGCCTATGGCTGTTTAGGAAACAATTTTTCAGTCACTTTCTGGCTTATGGCTGCTAAGGAAACAATTTTTCAGTCACTTTCTGGCTTATGGCTGCTAAGGAAACAATTTTTCAGTCACTTTCTGGCTTATGGCTGCTAAGGAAACAATTTTTCAGTCACTTTCTGGCTTATGGCCGCTAAGGAAACAATCAACTAGGAAACAGTGAAGACCATCATTACAACAATCCTGACATATCTACAGTTGCTCCGATTTTCTCCTCAATAGCTCCACAAGCATAAGGCTATTGACCAAACCCATTGTGTGCTGATTAACCAAATGTCTTGTGCCTTGTTCATGTCTAACAGCTCCAGGTTACACATCCACCAACCTGGATAGGGATTGAGACATGCTAATTGCTACAGTCGTCTTTGCAATATGCATCTGACATGGAACTGATGACACTGCCCCTATCCACTGATGGACTAGTCACTTTCTGAAATAAGGTCAATGAAGAGTTCAGATTCATCAACATTATCATGTGGCAGGTCCTTTGAAGAATGTCACTCTCATCACAGTCTGCCTGAAACAAAAAAACTCAGTCTCTGATCAGCTCTCCCGCCTCATGCATTATGATATCCAAGCAGTCACTACATCCTGTGCAATCTTCCTGTTGGTCGGTCCCTGCCCCTCTTTCTTGGTATCATGCCTTATGTTATTTTTTCCAAACCTCAGTGGCATTTAAAATGGCCAAAATATTTCAGCATGCGAGATAAGATGCTGTTTATTTGCCAATATTCCTTGATGTTCAGATCTTTTAAAATGTCAGTATTTCTTCTCCTTGGTCCATGGTACTGAGAATCTTTCTATAGCATTTCAGCTCAAAAGCACCTCTTTTCTTCATTAAGGATGAGGAGATAGTCCATCACTCACATCTGCATGCTGCTACAGGAAAATGCATGCTCTCAAAATTTAACTTTGGCTTGTTTGTGCTTAACCAGGGACTTTTAATGCTTTGTATTACTATGACCATCCTCCTTTTGACTTCTGTCGAACAGTCTCAACTGCCGTTTGTTATGAAGCTTAGATATTCAAAGTCTGTGACATTTTCAATGTGTTCATCCTTTATTGTTATTTTTGGGTGACAGCCAGTTTTTTGGTGCATGTGTGGACATTAATTTTTCTTCTTAAAAAATCAAGAACACTGAGTTTGTGAACAGACATGATGAAATCTTCTATTCCCTTTACACTGTTTGAAAGGACTGTGTCATCTGCAGAGCCAAGTTCCTGAATAGGATTGTCAGACTGCTTCATCAAATACTGGCAGCTACAGCAGCAGTGTGGCTAGTCCTCTCACCTGCCAACCCATTTGTCATGTGCTTGATGAGACTAGCACCACATACACAAACAACAAATCCCATGACATAAAAGGGAGGCCTTTACCTTCAAAAAAAATTTACAGTTGTCTGCAATGGAGGTCACAGAGATGCAGGGGGTCTCGGTGGCGAAGTGGTCAAGCCATTTGCCTCAAACGGTGGTGCCATTCAGTTCACAAGTGCAATTTTTGCGGAGATCCCTGGGGATCGACGCCGGAGCTATAGAAGTCGTGCTTTGTGCAATGCTCTTGGCAGGCAGCTAGCTGTTGTGCAGTATGAGACTGAGCCATATGGGATAAAACCCTGTGCAATGAAGTCGATTCTCTCACCTTTACCCTTTCAATGGAGGCTGGCTGCAACGCATCATTTGCTTACTATGGACATATTACGTGGTGACAACACAATCTCTTCCACAGTGTGAATCTCATACCACGGTCTGAAAGCTATAAAAACTTTTTTTTTTCAATAAACATTCATCATGAAACTAAAGCCCTGGTAAACACCGAGGACTGCACAGTGAAACCACGTATATTATCTCTCCACTGTTATCTTAGTCTGCCCCGTGATCTATTTCCAATCAACTCTTGTGTACGCAGTTTTTGTCTGTCATCTGCCATTCGCTCTAATTGAAATCCATTAGCCTTATGATGCCAATAATTAGTTTACATTTTTAAAAGTGCTGAAAATCATACCTTGCATCGCAAACAAGAATACTGACCCAACTTGTTGCATGAAAGACCTGACAGATGAAGAAAGGAAACAAACAATAATGATGATGATGATCAGTGAACATATTTGATAACACTTTACTAATCTCATAAAGGACCCTCTTCCACGCCTTCAAGCATGGTCGACCCGAGAGCCGAGGTCAATTCTGAAAAAAGTCCGGCTCCATCAGGACCTAAACCCACAGCATCCTGATTCGCAGGCAAGCATCTAGGCCCTAAACCACGGCGACTCTCACTATTCTTATATGTGTAGCTTTAATGCTGCCTCACCGGGACCTATTTTCATTTATTGGCATCACGAGAGCTAATAGACTCAAATGGTAGGGGCATATTGAAAGAATATCAGATGACAGAGAAGTAAAAACTGTATACACAAGGGAGATGAATGGTCGTAGACCACGAGGCAGACCAAGAAGACGATGGAGAGATAATATCCAATCAGACCTGCAAACACTTGGTGTCATCAACTGGAAAGAGAAGGCCAACCAGAGAGATGAATGGAGGCCAGTGATATCTGCAGCAATGAACCTCAAGGGCTTGGAATGCTGAAGAAGAAGAAAAAGAAGAAGAAGAAGAAGAAGAAGAAGAAGAAGAAGAAGAAGTGATGGTTCAGATCTGAGTCTGAAAGCTGCTGTTGTGAGGAATCTTTCCTATTTGAACAGAAAAAAAAATATGTGCCACTTGCAAGTATTTGCCAGTTTCAGCCAAACAGATCCTGTACTGACCAAACAGCCACATTACATATAATCAAGCAAAGCACGGAATCGAATTCATCACTTTACATTGGATTCATTGACTATGGAAAAGCTTTTGACAGCATTGATAGGAAATCTCTCTGGAAATTAACAGGGCACTATGGAATCCATACAAAATTATTAACTTAGTGAAGGCAACATATAATGAAATGTCTAGTTCTTCATGAGGAAAAGCTAACAGAAACATCTGAAATAAAAATAGGTGAGCGACAGGGATGTCTTTTTTCGCCCCTCCTACTTTTACTGGCAATAGATTAGATTATGAAGACAGCAACTGCTAACATCAAGAATGGAATTCAATGGACCCTTACAAAACGGCTTGATGATCTGGACTTCGCTGATATTTCTCTTCTGTGCCATTCACGGAATCAGATGCAAGATAAATTAAATATACATGATGCGAGATCACAACAGCTGGGTCTGAAAATCCATAAGGGTAAAACAAAGATAATAAGAATAAATCAGGCAAACAGTAATGTGGTTTCTCTTAATGGTATCGAACTCCAAGATGTGGAGTCGTACATCTATTTGGGCAGTAAGGTAAATCACGATGGGGAAACCGATAGAGATATTAAAATAAGAATACAAAAGACAAGAGGAGCTTTACATTGCACTAGCAAATTTGTGGTCAAAATAAATTAAAACTATTACTTTACAAATTGTTTAATTCTAATGTCAAATCAGTACTTTTGTATGAAATGGAAATATGGATAAAAACTAAGGCAATTACTAATAAACTACAAACATTCATTAACTGGTTCCTGCTCAGAACAGAGGGAATTAAATGGTGTGATAGAATCACTAATGTAGAGCTTTGGGAGAGAACATAACAAATTGCAGTGGACCAAGAGGTGAAGAAAAGACGCTGGCGTTGGACAGGATACCCGTTGAGAAAACATGAAAATAACATAACTAGAATGTCTTTGCATTTGAACCCACAGAATCATAGAAATAAAGAAAGAGCCAAGAAGTGAGCTAGAGAGCAAAGTTAAAAAAAAAGATGGGTACAGCTGCATGCCACAGTGAAAGACAGAACGACTCAGCGTTGAGTTCGTTGAGGGTTTATGCTCCATTGGGAGTTAGAAAGGCAGAAGAAGAAAAAGAATGAGAGCCTGTATTACTTTATGAAAGGCTAGAGACAATGTCAATAAATAGTATGATAGAATCACTAATGTTAAGCTTTGGGAAAGAATTAAACCAAAACAGTGAAACAAGAGGTAAAGAACAGAAGCTGCTGTTGGATAGGACACAATGAGAAAATCTTTAAAAATGTAACTAGAATGTCTTTACATAAGAAGCACAGAAAGAAAGGCAGACACACACGCACAGAGAAGGAAATTAGAAGTTGAAAAAAAAAGAATGGGAAGGACATGAGGCCGGCAACAGCAAAGGATAGGACAACTTGGTATGAATTGGCCTATGCTTCAATGGAGGACAGATGGCAAAAGAAGAAGAAAAGTAGAAAAGACAGGGTTAAAGTCTGTTATATTTAAATAAGAAATTCTGATCTCCTAATCATATTTATAAACTGAAACAAAATTACATTTATAGTTTTCAGACTCCAGTACTTGGCAGCTGGCTTGATGTTCAAACTGATCATCTTCACACAAAAACTTGGAGCAAAAGCTGCAGGTGAACAGTCTACCACCTGGGGATAAAACAAGAAAGTTCTAGAAAATTATGTAGTTACCTGACCTTTCTACCTGTCTTGTACTTCACATGCTACAAATCAACTCTGAGAGTTCCTGGTAAAGTCAGTTTCAGCTTCACAGACAAGTGGTCATGCCCATAGTTGCTCCACTCCTGCGCCAACTAAAAACATAGAATGTCTACCATCGTCCCTTGTGGAAAGATTGACAGACTGAAGTGTCAGCTTATCCACTAGCATACACACACATAAAAAGCATAAGGCAGCCATCATAAGTTCTAACACAAAGTCTGACCATAGAAATGCAGTTCATCATCAAAGGCAGCAGCAGTTACAAACAGATCAGCAGTTGCACACGTGATCAATTTTATTCACATAAGGCACCCCCAAATTCTGTGACAACAGGCCATTTGCTATTTTCCAAATCTACAGTTCACAACACCACGTTGATCACAGTTGAAAAACATTCCAAATGAAATCTGCAGCTCACATTGTCGAGCCATGCACTCAACTCAGTAGCTGGGTGACAAAACTATATTCTTTCAGTCCACAAATGGAGGAAAATGCAACAACCACCATCTGTCAGAAGCAAAACTTTACCACGACGAAAAAATTGACCGAGCCTATTGTCTCTTTTCACTGGAGAGTTCCAGTCTGCATTTTACTAATATAAGCTACATTGCCTACAAAGCTACCTACACTTGCATGTTTGTAACTTTCCTGCACAAAAAGAAAGTAAAAGAACTGTGCCTGAAAAACCAAAACTTAAACAAAATAAAAGAGCTGTGCTTACAAAACAACAAAAAGTAAGTAATGAAAATGTGCTTTAAAAACAAATAAAGTAAATTACTTGAGAATTAAAAAAAAAATAATAATAAGTTTAAGTAAAGGACCTAAACTAAAAAAAAAAAATTCATAAAATACAGAATTAAAGTAATGTAAAGAAACCTGACAGAAAAAAATAAACATGAAGCAAATATTCTGTTGTTCTCAATTGTTTCAAAATTTATGAGTTGAGAAGTGACAAAAAAAGCACTGGGACATTCTTATAAGCATTCCGGCCCCATCTTCAGCAGCAGGTGTAGAATTCCTATGGTACTGGTAGAAATCTGATTTAATGATTTAACTATGGACAGAAAAATCAACAACAATGATCATACCATGATCCCAAACCCCTCGTTTGCATTCATGGCATATAGCGTCAGCCAACGGACAAGTGCACGCATGTGTCTGCAGGCATCGTTTACTGTGACACACCCAAGCCTCGCAAAAATCACAGATTGCACCCTGGGTGTGAAAAAAAAAAAAGGGTAAAGTAAAAAAAAAAAAAAGGGAAAGCAAGCATGGTGTAATCAAAATAATATGAAGTCAAAATGAAGCAACAGTATTGGGTCATTCTATCACAACAGTTCAACCCAGCCTAAAATGGGTACCAGGATATTACCTCAGAAGTAAAGGTGGTTGGTAAAATATTGATCCACTATGTGCCAATATGACCAATATGATGTGAAAATATGACCTTAAATACGTGTGCCTTTGGCATGAAATCTGTTCTTTTATCACAACAAGCAGTATTACACAGTGAAATCTTGTAAATTATACAATGATATCACACACACTTGGCAGGTGAGACCTTGTCATCTATATCCTGACAATGCACCTATCTGATTCAGATTTTCTCGCCAAAATTCAATTCGTTTGACAGGTTTCACACTCTCCTTCTCCCTCTATGGGTTCCAGGGCCCCATTGTGGGGGGAAAACAGAACTGCTCCGCTGCCCTGCTAAACAGCATGAATAGACAACTAATTATGAGTGTATTGTTCAAAGCGCTTCTGCCTAAGAGGCGAGAAACTGACATTCTGCATATAAGCCAGATAAGTAGTTTCTGCAGAATGCGTATGATAGTTCGTGATGGTTCAAATGCACTAGATGGTAGTGGTGAACCACTGCTCTTCAAAAAAAAAAAAAAAAAATTTACTTCAGAACTTTTGATAGTTCACTCATTAAAAAACCAGAACTTAAAGAGAGTAAGAAGAGGACATATTAGGGTGTAATAGAATGGAAACCCTAAACACGACAGGGCTGGAACACGCAACAACCAACACTTCCTCACAATGGAAATGGTATGCTTTAAAAAGCTTCTGTAAAATGGATGTGCATGCAAAACTCAAGTTTTGAAACAAGAACAAAGTCCAGAAGTGGATGAACAGCCAGAACTTTCCACCAGATTTTAAAGCTGGTGAACGCTAAGAAAAAAGTTACTCTGCTTAGATGGCTCTTTGTGATTTCTGGCTGTTCCCAAAGTTACAAATGTCACATAAAAGAACCAAGAATGCATTATTCTGAATGCCATCTTGTTACTGTGACAACTAATTGTGAGAAAGGTCTAAACTGATACTAGACTGCGACCAGTCATCAGTAAGTAAAGTAAAGTAAAGATCCCTTTCACGCCTTTAGGCGTATCGGGCATATGGGAAGAGCGCCCATATTTTTACAGACCATCAGCACTCTCAGAATTACGCCGGCTGTCTTTACTTTCCCAGGACAGCCCATCCTGGTACCCATTTGAGGCTGGGTCGACCTGCGACGTCCCATACCACGATAAAAATCCACGCAGTCATCAGTTCATAAACAAAAAAAAAACACCAGATGATAAGATTCTCGCATCTGACAAGAATGCCTTGGCACTAACTGCCACACTAAAGAAATACCATAAACAAAGAGAGGGGAATCCCGCAAGATGGAACACAGATGGAACAGCCTCCATGGAATAAAGATCAATGTATGCAATGCATTAGCAAGAACACAAAGAAAATCCTAACATTCTCCCCTCCCCACATTTCGATGAGGAATCTAGCTAGAGAAGAAGAAGCCATAACTAAGCTGTACACCATTTCGAAAGAGCCTGCCTGAAATGTTTCTTACAATTGCAAGATCATTAGTAGAAAGTGGGTGCAGTTCTACATAGACAGATTTGACAGGGATAAGGTAATGCTTTCTCAAGACTGAGCCTCAGCACACTTACGCTCAGCTGTAGGCTAAGCTCTACAGCGGACAAGTGGTAATTTTTCAGTGACATGAAAGTGGGACTGATTTTTACGTGTGTAGATACATTTCTTTGTATTTACATTTCAAAAGAGACTGTTCTCAAGTGTTAAGTGTTATTAACTATGTGAGTGTATTTAAATTTCTATCGGATTCTCTTTTGAGAAAAAAAAATGCCTGAAAAAACTCCACAGAAAAATTGGACTCGTGGGAAAACCAGTATAGTATGTGTTAAACATTTTCGCACGTCCAATATTATTTTATCTGATAAAAACACAGACAAATCTGGAGTTTAATATATACTCCCAAGAAAGAATCCTGCTTTCCAGAACTTTCATCCAATTTATTGGTGAAAGCACCAGCCTCTCACAAAACTCCAAAGGAATGTGTATTACATATTAATAGTAATGATGCCTGGGGTAGTGATGTCGCATTATGCTGATGACATCAGCACCTAGGCCTTTAATCTTGAGAAGGTACTGGATACGGTTTAAGATATCAAGATGAGCACTTATTTTCCGCAGCCACGGGTCACACACTTTTTGGACAGACTTCCCTAAAAAAAAAAAACAGTTATACCATCCTCATGGATCCTTGTTTAGAAATGACAGACATCCCCACAGCAAATCATGCAGCAGGGATGCTAAATACTAAAGGTTATATAAACACAATGGCATGGGTGCTCTTCAAACTCTGCTTCTTTTCCAGCTCAGTGTAAACTCAGCCACATATCCATCCACTCAATGGGTATACAACTTACCACCAATCCAAGTCCAGTAACATATTGACCAGAATGTTTTACAGCGCAGTCACCTCCCTTAGACATACATTTTGTTTTTCCTGCGGACATAAAGCAAAACCTATCTTATAATTAAGTCAATGCCAAGGTGGAATATTGAATTCCCCTTTCCCCGGTTAGGTTCTGGGGCCTAATTGGGGGGTGGGGAAGACCAGATCCAGTGCCTCCCTATCGGGCATGTCATATCTCTGTTATCTGTATTTTCTCTATTTGCGACTCACTCATCACAGGCTATCAGCCCACATGATGTCAGGAATCAGAGGTGACTTAAACGTAATGAATTTTTCTGTTGCTTCTCACTCTCTATTCTCTGCTGTTCGCACCTCTGATAGGCCCAAAGATTCACCACACGACTATTCTTAAATGTTTCTAGTCAGGCTCAACTCTTCTAGTTGTACTCCACGTTTCAGAGCCAGATAAGACAACTGGTCTTACTGGTGTTACAAGTCACAGCAATTGATTTCAACAGATGTAACGTTAACCAATTTCTGCAGTTAAATGCTGCCATCTTTAAAACCTAAACTTAACTTACCACACTGGGCACAGGCCGGCAGTCGTTGTAGATTATTGCAAAAATAACAGAAAGCTCTGTTTTTCTGAGTTCTGGAAATATATGGAGAAAAAAATAACAATTAAAAAAATTGTAAAATTGTCAACGATAATTTTTTTATATCAACATATGTCCATCTTGTATGATACACATGACGCATCATCACACGCCACACTGTCTCTTTACTGCATGGTTATTCATTTAACAACCCTGTGGCCATATGAGACTGTTTTGATGAAAATATACAAAATACCTAGATTTGTGGCCGAACTATCTTGGATTCGAATCTGCATCAAGGCAGATTTATACAATCAGCTAGTGCTATCAGATCCACTTAGCCTATAATGGGTATCAAAAAATGTCCTGGGAAGCAAAGGTGGTCTGTGTGATGTTGAACACATCAGCCATCAAGTGCCAACTGTTCTACTAACAAATGGGTCTAGCACCAGATAACCAATGCACCAATGGTGTGGAATTCAGTTGATCAACAAACAAACAAAATGAAACAGGACATCAACTCAGATAGTTACAATATATTTTCTTCTTTATTTGTTATAGTCCATAGCGTATTGTGCTGGAAACAGTCTATCCACAGCCTTCGAGTTCTTTTAAACAATTTCTGACACAGATGATCTTCCAAATCATGATGTCAAACTGTCTTATCTCTTGGTCTCCCTTTGCCTCTTCCCACCCCCCCCCCCCCCCCAATTTGTCAACTGCTACAGTGCATTAACTCTTTTGCTACCAGGCATCTCACCATGCATTTGTTGGGTACTCCTGATATGATCTACTTTTCTTAACTCCAGAAGACACACTAACCAATTCTGCAAAATATTCACTTGAGCTCCTTTTGTCACACAGTATGGTAGAACATCATTTATCCAGATCGCAATTATCCGGATTACACTTTATCCGATATACTTTAAAGAAAAAAACTCTCTTTACTTTGTTAGTTGCGTATCGGATTTAACAGTGCAGAATACATTTAATACTGTTCCTGGTTACTTTAACAAACTAGTGTCTGGTGTCCTTCGCTGTTTTGTTAAATTAAAGATTAGGAAATGGGTGAAAAAAGATTGTAGTGATTATGGAGGAGAAACTATGCACTAGAAAGTTACCAGTAATAGCAAAAACTATTGCTTTGGAGTTAGGTGTCGGGAAAGTACATTTGGAGATGGGAAGACAAATCAAGCAGAAATTGAAAAGTGCAGTGCTGTCCAATCTAGTGGAGGTGGAATAGAAAATATGAGAAATGGTGATGAAAGATAGACGTGAAGAAGTTAAGGAAGCTTTATTTTTGTGGCTTGAACACTTAAAAAGAAAAGGTTTGCCTATTACTGCGTCGATATTGCAAGAAAAAACATTACAATTTATGCGACAAATTGAAGCAGAAGATTAATAATTTATTGCTTGTGAAGGATGGTTAGATCAGCAGAAAATATTTTATTTCTGGACTTCATTTTCCGTCATAAATATTTAAAACGTACAGTACAATACGAATAAGAGTAGGTTTGGTATAAAAAGTTGTTTAAAATTTTTTTTTTTTAAATACTTGTGGGGCACAAACTATTTATAGAACTGTGCCACATTAGGCTGAATATTGCAGCGTCTACTGTATTTATATTCTAACTTCTTTTTACGATGTAATGAGTCAAAGCAATACTTATCTGGGACTGAAAGAGTTAGGGTTTAATTCTTTGTAAACAAAGCTCTTTTATAGCGGAGGCCAGGGTGACCTAGTGTTTAGTGCTCGTGGGCTGCAAATGTGGCCTAAGTTAAACCCCCCAGCGAAGGTAGAATTATTGGCTCTCCTGTAAACTACGGCCGGTAGACAACAGTAGACGGCCAGTTAGTCGGAGTTCTGTCCCTTGGCTACAGTGTCTACTGTTGTCTACCGGCCGTAGTTGACAGGAGAGCCGAATTATTGTTCCCCTGATCAGTACAGCTCAGAGGACAGGTGCTTTTCAGAACATTCAGCCTGCCAGCTCTCCCACCTAGTGTACTTTCCAGACTATAACATGTCACCCACTTTCCAGAAAGAAGGACAACAGGTATGTTTGTAAAATTTACCAATTTAGCAATGGCTCAGTGAAGATAATATTTACTTATTTAGGCATGGCTCAGAAAAGATGCTTGACCAATGTTGATGGATGGGGAGCAGAGCATGGCTGGAGGATCATACAAAGTTGCGAGAACTTGTTAGGAGACTAGGGGTTGCCTACTCTGTCATCAAAATGTGTGTGATCATTATAATGCAACCTGCAGCAGTGTTGCAGAACCCAGGTCAGGAGGTTCAAGGTCCACCAAAAAAGTGGCCTTTCAGTTTTTTTTAGCAGTATACATAGTATATTCATTCCAACATTAAGCTATCAGTGCCAAACATGGACACTATCTAAAGCCATATACGTAAAATCACCACCTGCGAAATGAGATGCCTGAGAAAAGCAGCCAACCTAACCATCTGAGATTAAGTGAATAATGAAAACTATCAGGCAAATTGTGGGAACAACACTTTGTACTAGATTCATCAAGAAACAGCAGATCAAGTGGTTTGGTCATCTCGTTAGAATGCAGCAAGATCAAATACCATCACAAGCACTACATCTCAGAAGATCAGCTACAAGAGCAAGAGGATGGCCCCGGATAGCATAGATCAACAACATTAAAGAGACACTACGCCTTCACAGCATGACAATCGCCAGTGCCAGCCAGTGTCCACTGGATCACAAATTATTCCTCCCCACGTGGCTTAATGGTAGAAGTGGTTTATGATGATGATGATGATGATGACGCAGTGACCTAGAACAGTGTTTCCTCAAACCTTTTCACACCTGCGGCCCACCAAAAAATAGGAAACTGTTTTGCTGACTACCTGCCCGATAACCAAAAATAGTCACAACAACAAATGTAGAGAGCAGTTAATTTGCTAAAACCTGTGTCCCAAAATTACCATCTTCAGCCGATACAACAGCTATTGATTCACATTCTTGGAGCTGATAATCCTTCCGACTGCAGTCCTATCCAAACCCACTACATGATTAAGTGCTATATAATATCCTACCCCAGATGATGTCACAGGACAGACCAACATTTCAGAGGGTGGTAAGACTGGGTTTGCATGCTTTCTGATGCTTTTAACGATGCCAAAACATCTAGAACTGGCCCTAACCCCAACCCACCTACGTACCATGAGAGAGTGCAGCCCAGGTTCCACGACTGCAAGTAGCCTATCTACCACCCCCTGAAATAGACTGTCCCGTGACCTGTGGATTTCCCCTGTTTGGGGTAGGATATTAATAAAGCACCCATGATTAGGCAAACAATCCTGGCGACCCATCTGGACGTTTCTGCAGCCCATCTGCTGAGTAACACTTCACTTTAACAGCATTATTAGCTACAAAACTACCTTTTACAATGCAAAATCTGCAGGTAAAATTCGAAGAGGAAAAAAATCAATTGCTGTGTTTTACAACTAAATTTGCCATGTAGGTTCCTATGCCGCTGGGAAGGGGGGGGGGGGGGGGGGGGGGGGGGAGGTGACTAATTAAGTGACTAATTATGAGTGTTTCTTTCAAAATTGAATTTCTTCAGCCTGAGAGGCTGGGAAGCAACAGTCTGCACACAAAAAAATCAGATCTGTAAAACGGATGTGCACGCAAAACTAGAGTTATGGAATAAGACTACAGTCCTGAAGTGCATGAACAACCAGAGCTTTCCGCCAGAGTTCACAGCCAGTGAACGCTAAAAAGAGGTAGTTTGACAACTTACCGTTTGCAATGGTCACATTCCTATGAAAGAAGACACATAAAAAAAACATTAATTGTAATAATGTGAACAATTATTAACATATTAAAAATAAAATCACAGTATATATCACATATTTTTTTTTCAGTTCCAAATAATGCACAATGTGTTGACTCTTAACGCATCTCAAACATCACATCCAGTGACTCAAAAATCATATCCACTGTCTCAAACATCACATCAAGTATCTCAAACATCACATCAAGTATCTCAAACATCATATCAAGTGTCTCAAACATCACATCAAGTATCTCAAACATCATATCAAGTGTCTCAAACATCATATCAAGTATCTCAAACATCACATCAAGTGTCTCAAACATCATATCCACTGTCTCAAACATCACACCAAGTATCTCAAACATCACATCAAGTATCTCAAACATCACACCAAGTATCTCAAACATCACATCAAGTGTCTCAAACATCATATCCACTGTCTCAAACATCACATCAAGTATCTCAAACATCACATCAAGTGTATTCATTAGGTGAAATTTTGCTCACAGTATATCTTCTTCTGCGTTTATCTGAAGATGTAATTGCGCTGTGCCCGCTCACAGCATGGCTACGATATTTGCACATTTCGGCCAACACATCCTACTTCTGCATGCATTTGTTGACTGTGTTAGCCTTTGCGGTGCTCAGTGTATATGAGTACACATTCACTGGGGACAAAGTCTTGCCCTGATATAGCAAGAATTAATCTCTTACAGCATACGTTGAAGGTGTTTAGTCCTTTTTTCTTCAGGGACATATCAGTCCAGGTTTCACCGCTATATAAGACAGTGTACAAATGTTATCATGGACAGGTGGAAAGAATACTTCACAGAGTTCCTCGGTGTTGAAGAAAGTCATGACCCAGCAATAACGGACCTCACCCCTGAGAAGAAAATCATCCATGGGGTGATAACACCAGGATGGAAGAATTGAAGGCAGCCACTGAGAAGGAAATCATCCATGGGAATGATAACATCAGGATGGAAGAAGTGAAGGCAGCTACTGAGAAGGAAATCATCCATGGGAATGATAACATCAGGATGGAAGAAGTGAAGGCAGCCACCGAGAAGGAAATCATCCATGGGAATGATAACACCAGGATGGAAGAAGTGAAGGCAGCTACTGAGAAGGAAATCATCCATGGGGATGATAACATCAGGATGGAAGAAGTGAAGGCAGCTACTGAGAAGGAAATCATCCATGGAGATGATAACATCAGGATGGAAGAAGTGAAGGCAGCCACCGAGAAGGAAATCATCCATGGGAATGATAACATCAGGATGGAAGAAGTGAAGGCAGCTACTGAGAAGGAAATCATCCATGGGAATGATAACATCAGGATGGAAAAAGTGAAGGCAGCCACCGAGAAGGAAATCATCCATGGGAATGATAACATCAGGATGGAAGAAGTGAAGGCAGCTACTGAGAAGGAAATCATCCATGGAGATGATAACATCAGGATGGAAGAAGTGAAGGCAGCCACCGAGAAGGAAATCATCCATGGGAATGATAACACCAGGATGGAAGAAGTGAAGGCAGCTACTGAGAAGGAAATCATCCATGGAGATGATAACATCAGGATGGAAGAAGTGAAGGCAGCCACCGAGAAGGAAATCATCCATGGGAATGATAACATCAGGATGGAAGAAGTGAAGGCAGCTACTGAGAAGGAAATCATCCATGGGAATGATAACATCAGGATGAAAGAAGTGAAGGCAGCCACCGAGAAGGAAATCATCCATGGGAATGATAACATCAGGATGGAAGAAGTGAAGGCAGCTACTGAGAAGATTAAGCTGGGGAAAGTAGCAGGCATGATTTATAACACCAGAGACGGTAAAATATATGGGAGTCGCAGATGAGCGACTTCTCCTGAAGGTTCTCCAAGCAGTCTGGTGTAGCAAAACTATATCAAAAGATTGGGAGACTGCCATCATTTTACCCAGATTAAAAAATGGTGATAACAGACAATGTGAAAACCACAGAGGCTTATTCCTCCTCAGCATTCCTGGTAAAAGTTACTCTAGATTTCTCAAGCAGAGACTTAGACGTGTGGCAGAGCCACAGCTAGATCTGGCCCAATGCGGCTTCACAGAAAACCAAAGTACTTAAGACTTTATCTTCACATTCAGACAGATGAGTGAAACCTTTGAATACAAGAGTGAGACACACCTATGTTTTTTGGACCTAAAAAAGGCATTTCATAAAGTACCCTGAATTAAGCCCTGGGACTGCTTGGCAGGGAAAAACATCCCAGCGCCCCGATCAGTGCAGTACAGAGTTTCTACAAAAGCTGCAGAAATTATGTAAGAACAGCAGACCAAAAGTCAGAGGAATGTAAGACCACTGGCTTGTTAGACAAGGTGATTTTCTCTCACCTTACCTCTTTGTTATTATGATGGATGATGTCATCAAGACCTCTAAGGAGAAGAATAAGAAGTACTCAGCAGGGTACTGGAAGATGAGACCAATCTGTATACCAGAGCTGGCATTTGCAGACTATGTGGCCCTTCAATCCAACTTACTTTTCTGGAAGGAAAAGCTTGAGAAAAGAGGGATGACCATCACTATCTCCAAATTAAAACCATGGTGATATCAATAGAGGAGGAGAAACATCAGATCATGATGGGACAATATGCATTGGAGCAGGTCAACCAGTTCAAATACCTTGGAATTGTAATAGACCGAAACCGAGGCATTAGGACTGAGCTGGCTACATGAAAAGCAGCTGCTGGGAGACTCTTCCAGGTGAAAACTGAGGGTTTCTTAGCAAAAGAGAAACTGTCACGAGGACGAAAATCGCCGTTTACGGCTCTGCCTATGTGCCAGTCCTGACCTACGGATGTGAGTCATGGGCAATAACAACAGCTCACAGACGCCAGCTTCAGGCCCCAGAAATGAGACAGTTCTGCCAGAACAATGGTCTTCTAATCTTTTTTTGGGGGGGTCAAGCCCTTGCTGAGTATATGACCTCTTGCATTTATTGCAAGACCCCCAGGCTCCCCTTGAGTACATTACAAGACCTACCCGTCTCCCATGAGTATATGGCAAGACTGCTAAGGCCCCCCCCTCCCCTTTTTCCGTATAACAATGTGTATAAAAAGAGGACAATAGATTCAGCAAAAAGGGAAACAGTATGATGGCAATGTTTTCTTCAGAGTGTGTTCTTAATAAAAATTAAATGTCTGTGTTACTGTTATCATTTTAATTAGATTTTCAACTGCAGATATCTAAACTGCTTATATCTAAACTGCTTATGAAAAAACAAAAAATGCTCCCATGACTGTAATCATTGTAATGCATCTTTTTGTTTTTATAAATAATAGATTTTAAGGCTATCTTACGAATAACAGTCCCAAATTATCGAGGCAGAAAATATACCCTAACAGGGCCTCGGCCACTTGTCAATTGCGCACTTCCGGGGACTATACCGCCACAGCCGAATTTCCGGGAACTATACCGCCACAGCTGAGAGTATTATCCACGCTGCGAGAGCGGCGTGGATTGGGGCTAAACTAGATGGCTGGGACTCACGAGCAAATAAAATGAAGTTAGCTGCAGGAAATGCGGTAGCTGCTGCTCGTCAGTCCCAGCCATCTAGTTTAGAGTTTACCCCCAATCCACGCAGCGTGAGGGATACTCTTGACGGTGGCGAAAGTCGCTGGAAGTGCGCAACTGACACGTGACTGAGGCCCTGTTAGGGTATATTTTCTGCCTTTACAAAATTTGGGACAGTTATTCGGAGGATAGCCAATTTTTGGGCTCTCCTCCGAACTTCTACCCCCGCAGTAATGCGGCCTGAAATATCTGTTCGGTGCGTAGTCCAATTAAAAATACGGACTTGTCGGAGTTCCCACCTAGGTAAAAATTGCCGCAAAACTAGGAGTATCTTATAATGTCATGAGACGCAACATTGCACACGATAGTTGAGACGATAAAAGCGACCTGTGACAATGTCGAGCGTTTTCTGCACACGATACTAGCAGACGATAAAAGCGAGCGTTGACAATTTCGAGACATTACAGACGATGACAGCGATAGACCACGCAGATTAGCAATACTGTTCTTCCGATTGAGGATTTAGCAGCGGTAGATATCAGATGTCGGCGTCTGTGGCTTAGGCGTTACGAACGCGCTTTGTAATGCCGGGGTGCCGGGTTTGATCCCAGCTGCGGGCCTTGCGCTGGTTTCGAGAGTGGTATCGAGAAGCCGACCGTCAGAAAGCAATGGCAAACTACTGGACGTAAACTTGCCTAGAAAAACCACAACAGCCAAAAAAATGCTGGGGTTGGTTCTGCAAAGGATACGAATCTAAAAAAAAAAAAAAAAAAGATGTCAGACTTGTCAGCATTCGCAAAAAGCCTTCAAACTCACCGCCGACCGTATCCCACGCGCTGCTACGTGCGGCGAGGATGGGGTGCTAAACTAGGTGCCTGGTACTCACGAGCAAAGTAACTAGAGGAAGTTGCAGGAGATGCAGTAGCAGCTGCTCGTGAGTCCCAGCCATCTAGTTTCGCCCCTATCCGCGCCGCGGATGATATGGTCGGCAGTGAGGCATAGTCACAGACACAGGTCCGAAAGTAATATATCGCTAAGAGCCTGTTAAAAGCATTTGTGTCGTTTGTCCGAGCCGATCCTAGATTTGCCGCGATTTGTTCGTCTGCAGACAGTCCGACAATGGAAAGTGTCAACTGTCGTTATTTTCGTCGTCTGCTACTATCGTCTGCAGTGTTGCGTCTCTTAGAATTGTCAGGTAATCAGAAACAATAAGATACAGGTCCGCAAGTAACATATCGCTAAGACCCTGTTAGAGCAGTTGTTTCGTTATACGGAGCCGGCGTATTTTTAATCGGACTACACACCGAACGGATATTTCAGACCGCAATACTGCGGGGGTAGAAGTTCGGAGGAGAGCCAATTTTTGTGTTATTTTATTACAGTATTACTGGACAGAAATATAAAGGACTGATGCAAAAACACTGTACTTAATTTCAAAACTGCTTGACCCCACTCTCTTTTATTTAAGGTAATTACAACAGACCACTGTACTAGAAGTAGAATAGATATGAAAGAAAACCGACCATTAACTGATTGCAAGGACGCTGATCAAGTCCCCGTTCATACTGAGCGGCGTTAATTGCCTTCTGTCTTTCCTTCTGCTTCTCTGCCTTTTTTCGTTGCCCGGTCTTCTTCTTCGGCATGCTTGCTGTTCGTATTTATTTCTACTTGTAAACAGATAACAATTAAACAAGCGTATAATATGTGTGCGTTGACGACAACAAACTCCTGTCAACATGCGCACGAAGCCATCTTGGGAAGGGCGATAAACCACAATAAAAACGGAGGTTGGAAGTTTCGATTCTCGACCGTCGTAATAAACTTATTCTTTTAATTGTGAATGGTTAGTTGCGTATCCTTTACGGGACGTTTGCAGAACCAACCCCAACAGCCCCTGTGATTTTTCTAGGCAAATTTACGTCCAGGAGTTTGTCATTGCTTCTGGACGGTCAACTTTCTTGATACCACTGTCGAAACCAAAGCAAGGCACATGGCCCGCAGCTGGGATCGAACCCGGCATCCTGGCATTACGACTTATTTGTGAATGACTGTTTCTAAATACAGTGGTATCTCGGTATACGTACTTAGTCCACTCCAGTTTCACGAACGTATACCAGAGGAATTTATCCATAAGAAATAAAGGGAGAATGTTTAATCTGTTTCCATAAGTTGACTTAACCGGGATAAGTTGACACCTCTGGGGTGCCCTCTGTCGTTAGCAGGAGCATCACAAAACAGGGTCCCTACTTGCCCTGGCAATTTAAAAGGTTGTTGAAGGATAAGAACATGGTCTAAAGCCATGTGGATGTGGAAAGCAAGGGGAACTATACATTATTATCCCAAGAAACTCATTATAGGAGCCATAAACGAAACACAAAGATCTGATGATGAGGCTCCCAGGCAGATCACAAACACGAACTGGGGAAGAGAACGATGGCAGCGCAAGTAAGGGTAGTTGTGATGACGGCCTTAAGCCAGACGGTACTACAAAAGAAAACTTTTGTCACCGATTTAAAGAAAACTCCAAAGTTTGGAAAATGGAATGTTAGGAGCATGTATGAGGGAAATCTTATCATCGTTGGCAGATAATTTTAAATGTTAAATTAAGAATCGACATTACAGAACTCGGGACACCCCTATAAGAGCCACATCCCCATCTTCAGAAGCAAGCGTAGAGTTCCCATTTCGATGGCACCAGTTACTGTCTGATTGTATATCCGTTCCGCCTTTTACCTGAGTGTTGAGCGCCGGTCAGATCCCTGTGTAACTCCTCGCAGCGCCATTCTCCCCAAACATTCTCCTATCAGTGCCTCCGCACTGTTCAATCGCTCACAAAGACAGGGTTTGCCAGATAAAAAAAAAACACCTTCATTTTATGCCAAACCATTGCCCAAAAATATGCCAGAAAATGCCAAATAAAGTTAACATTGTACCCACTTCACATCAAAAGCTCTAGATTGAATTCCTCACTGTCACCCTCACTGGAACCAGTGGAAGATACAGCGTAAACCTTTTGAGATGTAAAATCTTTAAGAATTTTTTCAGATGGGATGAAGTCTTTGCAACACATCTACAATGATGGCATATTTCTTTTTCGGAAAATCATCAATAAGGTCATCTTTAAGTGCAGGCGATATATAATTTTTTTTAAAAATTAGGTATGAACATTTAGTTATATGGAACTGTATGAGCTTCAATGTACTCCCTCGACCATGCGCTGTCATGATGTCACTCAGATGATCAATTGTGCTTATTGCACAATGGCAGGACATGCCTGCAGCAAGTTGCAACTCTGCTGCCTTTAACGTTATCATTACTTTGCCTGGAAGTCATTGTTGTAATAAGCTGTGACTGGCTTTTTGGCGGAGTTTTCATCCTGTGCTTTTCGGATTTTTCATGATTTGACATGCTACTAATTCTTGGTGCAACAGTGCTCTGACACAGTTTACAATATGCTGCCTCTGATCCGTCTGAAGATCTTTTGAGCCGTGGGTATGTTTTCTTCCAGTTACTATTATACTTGCTATGTCATAAGATGCTTTACATTTTTTGGATGACGTGGCCATTGGTAAAAGTAATAAAATCTTTCACAGAACTAGGTCCAAATCCTCTATTTTCTGTCCTCAAGTACTTCATGAACTGTCTGAATCACTTGGTATCAGTGGTGGGTTTTGGTTTTATATCCCGCATTTATTCTAATAGATTAACAAACATTACAGAGGGCCTTGGTTTATCGAAGTCACGACCCGTTTAGGAAGACAACAAATACAATAACAAATGAAGTGAATCTCAGTTACTCCGTACCAGGACATCACAATAAAGTCAAACTGAAATAAAGATTTTAACTGTAGGTACACGTTCCTTTTAGTAAATCTGCGTGTTTCTAACGGAGGAAAAATGAAGACAATTTGAGCACATCTTGGTTTAAAAAAAAAAAAAAGCCAGGAAAAACCCAAATTTGCCAAAATATGCCAGTTCATTATCTTATGCCAGTCGAATTTCAAATGTGCCAAATTTGTGGAATCTGGTATCAAAAATGCCAATATGGCAACCATGCACAAAGAGCCCTCACAACATCCGGCCTGTCATACATCAGTTCACCACCAAGCGACGCAGAACCAGCCAGTCTACCTGCCTTCTACTTTCTCAACACACCGGCATTACGTGGAGAAATAGCCAAAGGATGCTAAGTACCCGGGACCTCTGTAGTGATGCTGCCACTCTGCACGTAGCATACCTGCTGTCTCCACCTTTCTCAAAATGCTCTGCGTGTCAGTTATAATCACCGCATGTGTGTACAGCTGATTCTCAAGCCAGTGGAAGGCAGCAGTGACCGCCTCCACCTCCATTCCTAAACTAGACGTCGTGATATCATATGCCAGGCTTTGCTGCACCAAGCTACATTTATTGTAGTTAGATAAAATATCTGAGTTTATGTTTAATATAAGCCGCATTCAGCAACGAGCTAATTATTGTGGGGGGGGGGGGGTGGGGTGTATTGGGGGGGGGGGGGGGTGTCGAGGTACCAGAGCCACGTTGTTATGTGAAGAAAACATTTTCCGCTATCACATCAGACAGTTTGTCTGACCCCAGTCCGGCTCAGTTATGTTAAGCCCGGAAATTCCACAATAACACTCACACACATAATCACACATAAATATATTATGTGTGTGTGTGTGTGTGTGTGTATTATTATCATGTCGGGGCCGTGTTAGCCCAGTAGATGAGAAGCTCGCTTTCAAACCCAGCTGCGACTCGCTGCATCCCACAGTCGGTGTTCGAAACCGGGCGGTTCCCGGGGTTCACCCAGCCTCTAGGAAATGAGTACCAGTGTTGACACTCTGGGGAAAATGGAGGAACGTCGCTGTAACTACAGAGTTAACGTGCGAACTGCGACACAAGCGGACAATTCTTAATATCTGTCCGTACTGATGGCAGAGCACTTATGGTTTATAACCGTGTGTAATGAGGCTGGTTCACATCTCCCCACTTTATCTTTTTTTCTAATTACCAGGTAAGATATCTGACTTTACGTTTAATATAAGCTGCATTTAGCAAAAAGCTAATTATTGTTCATGTGTGAGAAGGGGGAGGGGCGAGGTCTGAAGGACCTTAGCTCCTAGGTTCTGGCGCCTATAATTGGATTGTATAATATGATTAAAACACCGCCGAATAGTAAAATGCATACATATAAAAGCAATTAGATGAAATCAAAGACCTGGCTTAGCAAGGCAAAGGCTAAACAGCACGAAAAGCCTATGACATAACACCTGCAAGCAAGCTCAAGTTCATATTTTGAGACAGTGCATCTTTCCTATCTTCTTCTTCTTCTTCTTCTTCTTCTACTTCTTCGCATTCACCAGCTGTAAACTCTGGTGGCAGGTTCTGGTTGCTCGTCCACTAATGAACTGCAGTCCTGCTAGAGAACCTGAGTGTTGCGTGTGCATCAGTTTTACAGATCTCATTCTCTTGAATACAGACTGTTGGTTCCTTGCCTCTCCGGCAGATGCACTCCGACTTCAAAGGAAGCTCCCTAATTAGTTGACTCTTACGACATGCTTTTGGGGAGGCAGTGGGCCTATTCTTGTTTTCCCCACAATGGGGCCCCGGAACCCACACGGGGGACTGGGCATTCATAAAGTTAAGTTCTGACCAGCATTAGTTTTCAATTCCTACCTATTTACAAAATAAGACATCTCATATAACAATATGTATATTCAAATGTATAATTTAGACTATAAGATGAGTCAATGCCAATAACATATCATACTGACAAATTTAAACAGTTTAATCACATGAAGGAGATTATCTTTCTTATTATTACAATTTTTTTTAACTGATCTTCTTTTTTTCTTCATCGCGTTCATCAGCAGTAAACTCCAGCGGAAAGTTCTGGTTGTTCGTCCACTTCTGGACTGCAGTCCTGTTCCAGAACCTGAGTTTTGCGTGTGCATCCGTTTTACAGATCTGACTCTTTTAAATGCAGACTGCTGGTTCCTTGCCTCTCAGGCAGATGCACTCCGACTTCAAAGGAAGCTCCCAATTAGTCGATTCTTACAACATGCTTTTGGGTAGGCAGTGGGTCTATTCTTGTTTTCCCTATAAAAGGGCCTCGTAACCCACAGGGGGAGTTTAACTTATCTAATTTCCCTGTGTGGATTCTGGGCCTCCATTATGGGAAAACAAGAATAAAGAATAGACCTACTGCATACAGCAGACTGGCTATAGGCCAACAATGACTAAACTACTGGTAGGTTTTTCCACAGGTCAATGAACAGAAACCAGACACAAAGGGAGATAGCCTTGCTGCCTTGTAGATTTGAAACAGCTAAAGGCTAACAGACCAATGTATGTCAACATTGGACGCACTGCACTACAAGTATGGCAAACATAACTCAGTTCATCTGTCTGTTTACAGACTTGTGCAATACTGGGTTATTATGCAGAAAATATTGGCAATAAACTGACAGTAAAAAAATATATACAACATGATGCTATCTAGAATAATCACGGATCACAGTTATACATTGAAGCTTTCACCACATCTACATGTGCCTTTGATGTTTGGGTTATTGAAGATGAACTCAGACGTCAGTTTGTCTTCATGGTAATCCATTTCTGTTCCAAGCAAGGTCAGCTGGGC